CCCCAGTTCCCAAAGTCATCCAGCCACAACAGTGTGAATTCCTCAGTGAGGAGCCAGGCTCATTCTCTTGATCCTCCCACGCGGTTCTGGGGAGCTAAGAAAATGTTTATCTCCCTGAGCTTGGCCTTCATAATTCCATTCCATCACAGATATAATCTAAATAACAACAGTAATAAAGTGAATGCATGGGAAGCTATTAATTATTGAATTAGATCCTGGTCTATCCACTTGTAGTTTACACTGATTGGTGGCAGCTCTCCAAGGTTTCAGATTGGAGTCTTTCCCAGCCCCACCTGGAGTGATCAGGGGTTAAATACAAAACTTTCTGCATTGAAAGCAGAACTTTAGTCCTTCCCTTCATCTTGAAAGCATTGGTAAGCATTATCTAGAGAGTACTGGGGAATCTATGAGAGTTGTCTTTTGCAGATGGGATGGAGAGAAATGGATATTCTTGCCTAGAATTTGGAGCTTTATTTTTACATTGTTGATAAGCATTTTTTCCAGCAACTTCTAGAAAATTTTATAGTGCATAAATTCTCTTGGAATTATTTGTTTTTCCTTTGAATTATAGGTTATATACCTCATTGCCCATTTTTTTAAAAAAAGGCTGGTAATATCAGGAAACAGATCTAAGATTTCTCAAAGTTCTGGTGATTGGGCAGTGTGTATCAGGTCTATCAAGATAGGTAGATCTGACATCAAGAAATGGGTATATTCAACTTATTTATTTATTTTTAAATTTATATGCCGCCCATCTCCCCCAGAGGAGGGAGGGGGAGAGAGAGAGAGAGAGATAAAAACAAACCTGGGATTGATACATTGATACTTTATCTTTCCACCTGGGGACAAAATTCTAAGACTGAACTAAAATCAAGCTGTTTGATAGTAGTTCTAGAAAAAGTTGTGGTTTCTTTAAGGTGCAAAATACAGCATGTAGTTTGGTAACTAATGTACTGATTGTCTACTGGGCCTAATTTAAAGTGCTAGTGTTGACCTTTCCCCCTGTGAACCTGCCTGATTACTTGGAGGTCCTTTTGAAGATCCCTGGTTCACAGAAACTCATCTGTCTGGTATATGCAAAAAAACCTTCCATATAGCCTCCTGGTTATGGAATACCCTCCCCAGTTGTATTGTTTCTCTTCTCATATTTTATCTTTTGTATTTTAATTGCTGTAAGCCATATTCAGTATTGGATATACATAAAGACAGGATATAGTTTTAATAAATAAATAAGGTGTGGCAGACAGGTGCTGCATTTGCAGTCTCCTGTGCACTTTGAAGTGCCTTTGGAAGAAGCACTGCACAGCTCTGCAACCTTGCAGGTTCCCACAGGATAGCTGCCAGTATTATTTTTTTCCTAGAGATAGGAGCAGAAGCACTGCACCTCCAGTCCCCTACTCTTTCAAGTCTTTGAACATGATATCATGGTAAATAGTGTCAAAAGCCATTGAGAAATCAAGCAGTATTAACGGCAGTGTTTCCGCATCATCCATTGCCATGGGATGGGGATCATCAGTATGCTGATGATACCCAACTATACAACTCTGCCCCTGCTGAATTAAGTGATGTGGTGGACATCTTAACCTGATGCACGGAGACTGTGAGTCTGGATGGGGGAACAACAGGCTTCAGCTGAACCCTGACAAGACTGAGTGGCTTTGATTTTGAGGCTTGCTGGTTCTAGGACTATGCCATCTTTGGTGCTAGATGGGGTGGCACTGCTCCAGATAGACTCTGTGTGCATTCTGGGGATCCTTCTAGATTCATGACTCCTGCTTGAAATGCAGGTGGCAGTTGTGGCTGGGAGGACTTTTGCACAGCTTTGTGTTGTGTGCCAATTGTGTCCCTTCCTGAATTGGGAGGTTCTGCTCACAGTCACTCATGCCCTAGTAATGCGCTGTACATGAGGCTGCCCTTGAAGAGTGTCCAGAAGCTTCAGTTGGTCCAAAATATAGTGGCGCAGGCAGTTATGTGTGCTCCTAGAAGAGCACATATTATACCTCTGCTCCATGAGCTGCATTGGCTGCCAGTTTGTTTCTGGGTCTAATTCAAAGTGCTGGTTTTGACCTTTAAAGCCCTTCACGGCATGGGGCTGGGTTATCTGAGGGACCCTCTCTCCCCAATTACATTAGCCCGTCCCATTAAATCTGACAGAGAGGGCATGTTGTGGGTACCATCCTCCAGTGACCTGCATTTGGTGGATCCCAGGAAGCAGACCTTTCTTGCCATGATGCCCCCTTTATGGAACATTCTTCCTACATAAAGTTAGGTTAGCTCCATCCCTGCTATTGTTCTGGAAGTCCCTCAAGACCTGGGTGTGTCACCAGGCCTCAGGAGTCCCAGGGAACCAGAGACCTCCTTCAATGGCTCCATTGTGGTTGATCTTTTTACTCTGTGTGGTTTGTATATTTAAAATTTTTGATAATATTTTTATTAATAATGACTTTTTATATTTTTATAATTACTGTTTTTTATGTATTTACATTTGCATGTGTTTGTTGTTTTACTGATTGTTGTATGCCACCCAGAGTCACTTTTTGTGAGATGGGTGGCCGTATAAATCTGATTAATAAATAAATAAAATAAAATCTTCCAATATGGATCATCCATCAAGGCAATCAGTATCTCTGTGCTGAATCCAGGCCTACACTGAGACCGAAAAGGATCAAGAATATATGTTATAGCTAAGCAATCTTGGAGCTGGAGTGCTGCTGCTTTTTCAACAACTTGGCTGAAAATGGAATATTGACATCCAATAATTGGATTTAAAATTGACTAGGCCCAAGGGTAGTTTCTTTACCAAAGGCCTCATCACAGTCTTCTTTAACAAAGCAGGAAACTTCACTTACAAAAATGAAGTGTTAATGATCTCAGTGATCATATACAGGATAGATTATTTGGAGGTTCTTATAAACCAAGCCAGGGAGAAATTCTACATACAAATATTGGCATGAATAGATCCAGGAACCAAATGCAGTTTGGCTGCAACAGAATTACTTTCCGAATCAGGGCAAGTAATTTTATCCTATATTGATCAAATTCCAACTTGTGTATAATGTCCATTTCTATGATGGTTTTGAGTTTAATGAGAGCTTCCTTTTACAGTGAAAGTCTAGGATTTCTAAGCCTTTTTTGTCTAGCTCCTTGTCTGCTGAAACATCCCATTCCATCCCAGCTGCTTTTCTCTTAAAAAATTAACAGATGGGTAATTTTATCTTTCTAAGTTGAAGTGAAAAAGCAGTATAATTTTGCATGAACAAATGTTTAGCAATGAAATTGTTAAGGCCCCTTATTCCTGCTTCAGTCCACAGCTGAATCTAATGTCCTCATTCTAAGTGACAAAGCAGCACAAGATAGGAAATACCAGCAGGAATTATTTACCTTTTCTAAAATGTGATGATTAATAGCTTAAAGGCATTTGCTTATTTCTATTTTTGGTTACAATTTCACTGTAATTATTTAGCCACTTATAAACCTAGGATTAGGAACCAAAACACTGAAGGAACCTTGCTCTTTTAAATTTAAACTGTAAATTTAAAATGTATACCACAACAGACAACAAAATCTAATAAGTTGTATCTAAAGCATACATTGTGTTCAAAACAAGTATATTGAATATTCCATGATTAATCAAGCTATAAATATTTGGTATGCTTGTTTTAGCAACTTCTTCCTTAGCAGAATGTTTGTATGTGTAATGTTAATTAACATGATTAATTACATAAATGTCTACTTATTTTAAGCAGGCAATAGAAACTAAAGTTAGTAAAGATGTTTAATACGCTCTATCATAGCCAATCTGTAGTTCTCCTTTTGTTGTAGATTGCCTTCAGATTAAAATAAACATGCAGGTAGTCCTCAGTTAACGGTAATTGGGACCAGAAGTTCCATTGCTAAGCAATGCAGTCATTAAACCATGATATCATGTGACCGCATCACTCGTACCGCACTCCTGGCACTCCCCGTTGCTGTCATTAAGCAAGGAACTTCCTGCCGGCTTCCACCAAACACAGTCAGTGGGAAAGCCGGCAGGAAGTTGGAAGTCGCAGGTAGCTTGCAAGCAAGCTGGCAGGCAGGCAAGTGGCTGCTGCCAGGGGTGAGAGGGTGTGCAAGAGGCCAGTGTGGCACAGCATGAGCACATCAGGGCTTGTGGTGGCTGCTGCAGGGTGCACAAGGGGATGCAAGGAAGCATAGCAGGGCTTGGGGTGCCTGCTGCAAGGTGGGGAGAGTTACCCAAGCTACTTGCGACCTTCCCTGCCGTTTTC